AGGGCCACAATCATCAGCAACAGGTCATGGACGAGCTGAGGGTCTGACTCCGGGAGAAGCTTGTAGTCGCTGGTGAACGAACAATCGACAGTTCTGCGGACGGTGGTGGTGGCGGCGGCGTGTTTCATCGTCTTCTCTGCGAACCGCTCTATCGCTTCGTGTACGCCGGATCGGAGGGAGGAGGATGGTGGCTGTGTGCGCGCGATGAATGTTTGAAGCGTGGTCGAGGGAAGATTGCGGAAGGATTCGGTGTGGGTAGGGGGAAGTTTCGTCGTGGAAATGTTAGCGACCCCCCGATGACGAGCGCGTCCCTGTTCGATCGTTGGGAATTTCGGGGAGGGGAATCAATTGCCTGCGGAATTATGGAAAGCATCTCGCTCGTTCTTCCGCGGGGATTATCGGGACGTCAAAGTTTAATCTTAGGATCTTCGATTTAACTTTAAACTCAATTGAATATTATCGCGTGTAAGACACGTCGCGGGCCAGCGTGTTCATTCGACGGAGCGCGCGGGAAGGTGAACGAATCGAGGTCTCTTGGCGATTCTCGACGATCCCCTGAGAGATCCTTGAAAATCTTCAAGAACGCGCGGCGGAAATTCGATCGAACATCGCCACCCCCGAATTCCTTTCCGGTAGAATCACTTAAGAGACTTAACGTTCGAATTTGAACCTCTGAGCGGTTCGGGTGAATCCTGAATCCTCGAAGGATGGTGTAAAAGGTCTCGAAAAATACTATTGTTTTCTACTGATTGCGAAAGAACGAACACTGACGCGACCAACTGCCGGAAAATCGAGTAGTATTCGATACTTCATAGCGTGACGTAAGTAAGACCGAGCTCTGGAGGTAGAGCACGGAGTTTCTTCCAATCGGGACACCTTTATCGACAAGGTTGTATTCTCCGAACCTTCGCGGTCCGACAAACTAGTTTCTTGTTTCGTGTCGTAGGCTCTAAGTTTAATTTCAAATCAATCCGAAGGCGATTCGATCGTGACGAAGGATTGCGAAGGGGTATCTGTTTCGTTTATAGGCGGCAGCCATTTCGATATCACAGAAAAATAATCCATTTATCACGAATATCTAAATAAAATGAAATCTTTTCACACGTGTATACTTGGTTACCTATGATTTCTTTTCGAGACAATGGCTGACGTCTGACGAGGAATATCAGAGCCTCGGATCGGCCCGATTCTGACAAAAAGAAGTCGGCGTGAAATCCGAGGCGCTGTGGATCGCCTAAATGCTCAATAAAAAGACGAGAAAAGGGAACGAGTGCGAGAGAGAGAGTGTCACCAACGAAACGACGGATCCACGATCTCGCGATCGTAACGAACGGTAACTCATTTTTTTACTAATGGAGGAAGAGACGTTCGAGAAGCGAGATCGGTCGCGCGATCGACAATTTATCGTTCAAAATATCTAACAGCATACTGCCATGCGATTCGAAGAGACGCTTAGCCATCGTGGCCAGTCAATACGAAGCGTTGTCGCTTCGGCGGCGATCGATTTGCCGCGAGAAATCGCGGATCGCGTTTACGATAGTCTAAAATGGCCGAGGAAGAATGCAAGAGAGAAACAGAGCGAGAGAGGAACTGAACGAACCCGTTGTTTTTAATATGATTTGTTTAGTGTGCGGATCGATGACACGAGAACGTGGCAAGGACTCTGGTCAAGAGCGGGTTTAGACTGTAAATAACGAATAATTACATTTAGTGGTTCGTCGAGTCGCTGATATTGATCTGCCGAAAGGATGACAAAGCGAGTGCCGGAGAAACTGACTGTAACTGTCGAATAATGGGATGCTGTGTGACAGATTAGAAGCACTGGACGTAATTTTAAATTTGTATATAATTGACATTACAATAAACTATGTAAACAATTACTATCGAATGCGTTTCGCCGGAGATTTCTGCTGGCGAATACACTTTATCGAAGGGTACAGGTGAGTAGTTCTCAATCCTTAACACTTTGACTAGCAACGTCGCGCATCTGTGACAGTCGCAATGACTTTATATGAATAAAATAAAATTAATACTGTAGATATTGTACATTAAAGTTACAAGGTATGACATTACATTTAGAAACTCAATATCACATTTTAGTTTCAATTTCTCAATAATTTATTTAGATTTGTCAAATTTAGTAGAATATTGCGACAGATCATCATGGAAGCAAATAATGGTCGCGAATATGTTAACACAAATCAAAGAACGATTCACGGATACAAACCTTCATTCGATTCCATAGAAACTCCTCCAATTATTTCTAACGAAGTAAACGCAATACACGGTTGTATAAATTATCACGAAATCTGGTTGAACGTTACTGGTGATCATAAAACACCGTTGTTAATTAGAGAACTAATTGCGAGTTCAAGTCTCTCCAATAACTCTCCGGATAGTACAACGCGATAAAAGCTCTTTAATTCGAATCCCATTAGGCTGAACATTTCTTCTCGTATTAATTCGAACTAGCAGGGCTTCTCCCCTATTTTTACCCCGCGAGAATCTGCTCCCGGAGCGATAAAGTCCCATCAGCGTTGCTTTTTGTTAATTCGAGCTCGTATTTCGCCCGGGCGATCTCACGCGTAGATTAATACGAGGATTAACGAGAGACCCGGCTATATTTTCCGGCCCTCTTAATGTATTTTTAATAATCCTCTCTCGCGCACGGATTCTCTTAAATTCGAATCTTAGCTGCAGGCCCTCGTCGCGAATATTCGGATTAGTCGAACGCTATCGCTCGTATTTTTCATCCGGCCCCTACAACTTCGCTTTTAATCGGCGATATTTCACCAACTTACCCAATTATTCGCTCCGTTCCACTTACCAACACCATTCACCCTCGCGCGGAGAAAGTTCGAGTCGGAAAAAACTGTTCGCGGAACGCCGGCCTGATTATATTCCGGTTTCGATTGAAATTACATTAAAACGAAAAGAACGGAGTGACGGGGGGCGGAGGAGGAGGATTAAACAATCGTAGTTTTCGCGGAACTTCTCGCAGCTGCCGTACCGCGAACTTCGATGCTCGAATTTTCTATTGAAGTTCACGGATCGCTCCGCTCAGAGGTCGGAGTACAAAACTCGAGCGAAATCCATCGCTTCGAATGGTTTCTCGTTGTTAAATATTGGATTGAGGAATAATTGCACTGTGTTTGAAATTTGAAGAGAAGAAAATGTTTTCGTTAATATTATGTGCCATTCCAAAGCGAAATTTTCCCCCTATACGCTAGTGTTCTCGGATTTTAGGGTTGATTTTATTTTTATTTCGTACTAAATTATTAAAGTCGAATGTCAGGACAAAATGAGCAGTTTCGATATACAGGAATATATTTCCGTCGCGATTGAAGGTGAATAACAGCGAGTGTCGAAAATGCTCATTTTTTTCAACTCGACATTCCATTTTAACGACTTAAAACGGAACAAAAATGAAATCAACTCTAAAATCCGAAAACATTAGTGTGTAGAAGGAAAATTTCGCTTCGGAATGACACATAATATTAGCGAAAACATTTTTTTCTGCTTTTCAAATTTCAAATAAACGGCAATGACTTGTTCCTCGACCCAACAGAGAACGCGTCGTGTGCGTATTTATTCCGCAATTGCGGGAATACGGGCCGGCAAACACACCCAAGGTGTTTGATGTTGCGCGGCTACCCTGAATTTCGTTTACACTGGCAGTCCTGGCTGGTTCGAAGACAAAGACGCGGCGGGTGCGGCCTTTGAGAACCAACCGTGACTATATCTCCGATAAATTCCATTTAAATGGATTATGAATGGAGGATCGCCCACGAGGTGGGATTAAACCGCGTCCTCGCCGTGATTGCACTGCAAAGACGGTGTCACTGTTGACTACCTATTACATCGTTACGGCATTGTGATGGAAATGTCATTGTACCAGTGATTAAACGTCACCATCAATCGATCGGGCTACTACATCCCGATTCATATTGCCTAATCGAAATTAAATCTACCCTGAACCCATTATCGTCTTGCTCTGATTAAAGAATGACTAATCCAATCGAGGCTGCGCGACCGTAGTAAAAAAGACTCGATAAGATCCGGGGATCTCGCTTATCTCGTCCCTGTACTCGATAAGGGAACATAGCAACGGAATTTCGATAGGAATATCTTGTTAAACCAGGTCAGATCTAATTGAAATAGATCAAATCTGAAGTACCATTCCCCGTGCCTCTCTCGGAACGCGAATCGTTGCAGCTCGGACAATAGAATCAATCCATGCATTCGCTGGAGGTATGCAGTTCGAAGATAAACGATGATATCACGATCAGTATCGGATATACCGTTCATTATTGCAGTTATCGTAATCAAGAAAAAATAACAACAGTCGGGTGGTGTATTTTTTATCCAGATTTTCTTTTCCCATCAACGAATTCGATCGACAGGCATACATGATACGCGTGTATTTATATAATATGTGAATCATAAATGCACTTTAGATCCCGATCCAGTCGGAACGTTCGCTCCCGCACGAAGAAAAAAAGGGATTGGAAGCTTGCTTTCGACCTCGATCGATATTTCCGCTTGCTAGTCGAATTTCAATCTGTCGATTGTACAGCGAAATAAAAATGTCGACGTTCGCAATCGATTCGACGAGAGCGAGGAGCGTCGAATTATCTCATGTCGGTATCCTGAAGGAACAAGGTCTGTGAGTTTTATTTTCAATTATATTTCTGCAAGATCTCGTTCGATGACGTTAAACAAAAGCGTACATTAGTTCCTATTTTATATAATGTATCGGAAACTTAAAGCCTTGACGTTCAACCCTTCGAGCCTCGAGTTCTTAAACGAACGGGACTAAAGCTACTGAAAACGGCGCGCTTTTACAAACGATACAAATTATCCGCGTTCACATCGAAGGTATAAAAAGTATCACAAATCGAAGTTCTTCTCTCTTATGCGTTCCGCATCTGGGATCATGCGAAGGGTGTTCGATGAGCAACAGGAATTTGAAGAAAGGGAGATACGATTGGCAGGGTTCGGAAGGGTCATTAATCGTCGAAACAGCTCGTCGAGACTCCAAAGGTTAATCTTACAATTAATGAATATCGCACCCTACTGCTACGTTAAGTTTGACAATTTAATTGCAAAGAGACGATACAGCAAACACCTCTATTCAACTAAGAAACATCGGCTACAATAACGTTACCACAGAACGCGGCTGCCTTGCAAATTACATTCACAAGAGTTCCCTTCGAAATGCTACAAATCAGTGTCGCTATCATACTATTAAACCACCATTAACCCCATTGCTACGGGCAACTATCGCAGAGCAACACATAACGCGAACGAAATTCTTCTCTTTCCGACGAACGAAACCCGGCAACGAAAGAAATCGAAAAGCGAACATCATCGTGGATTTTGTATCTGTCCTAAATTCAAGCGGATTATCCCGTTTCAAACGCGACCGAGTGACACTTAAACGTAAACCTGTCAATAACCGCCACCGACTCATCGACTTCCCCCTGGATCTCCGCCATAGCAAAGGGGTTAAAACCGCAACGGAAAGGATATTTCAATACCACTGCGCCCTCGGAAAGCAAGCACCGTGGATCACTGAACGACCAACGCGTCGATCGTTCCGACTAGATCGGTGTACTTCGATTCGTCAGCTCCGCCGCCGCGAAGGAGACCGGACCTCGCCGGCCTCGCGAGAACCGCGACCGGAACGATGCCTCTGGCCGTGCGAAAAGTGACGCGTCCTCTTAGGCGTGAGTCTTACAATAGGCGTTATATTAAAGATTAGCGATTTACCCTCGGTATGGAAAGTCGTAAAAGATCCCTATGTGCTACGTAGAACTACGAGCGCGATTCCGGTCGCACGGGGTCGCGAGCGCCGACGAGCGTCTCCGTCGCGGGCGTGATCGAAGCGAAGTGAAAATATACATTACGCTTCGCGTGCGTGACCTCCGAACCCCTAATACATAGTTCTCGAGGCTGTACATTAAGCGTGAGGAATCCGAATGCCGAAACTGGCGCAAGTCCACTGAAGAAGTTTCATCGGCTTTGGCTACTCCGCACTGGTGCAGAGAGTACAGTCTCTATTAGCACAGTAATTTCATTAAATTCGCTCGTTAATGTTACCGTATTTCTTCGTCGTTGAACGGTAAATCTATTTCCGTGTCTCGTAAGATTAAATTGGACGAGTAATTGAATGCGGACTGGCGCCATTAGGCCAACGAGATCCTCGCGCGTCGCGATACATCACGGCACGAATCGACGCTACACGACACGTTATACAGAGGGGCTGGCGCTAGAAAGACAGTTTAACGTTCGGAAAACGGTGGTGCTAGGGCGACGTAGAGTTCACGTTTAAGCACGGCGGATTAATGAATTATAACGTTACGACTTTATCTCCGTTCTGACTCATTCCGTTTTACTGCCTTCTTCTTAGTGTCGGTTTTCTCGGGAAAAGCCTTATCACATCAATGTACAACGACGACACTAGGGAAACCTTCGCCTCCTCGCGCGTCTCGCGAGCAAGCGGAGCTTTCTCAACCTCGCGCGTTCTCTCTCCCACAGACGCGTCTACTGGTCTCTAAGTTCTATAA